CTTTTTCATTCCCACACAAAGTACAATTTTCTGTATTAATTTATTAACCACAGTATTCTATCCTGAAAAAACAACAAATAAACTAAACAACAGTATACTGAAGGTTTTAAGATGAAGTCTAAAGACTTTTTAATGAAGATGCTATCTCAAATAAAGAACCATATCAAAGTCCTGTGTAGCCACAGTGCAGCTCTGGCAAATATGCTGTCAGTGGAATTTGGCCTGGCTAAACCCACAAGGGCAGAACCTGGCTCTGAGCTGCCATTAGCAAGAACAGCTTAATCTGCAGTCTTGTTTAAACCAAGTTTTAATAAAGGTAGGTAGAAGTAATTTGGTGCAGGTCAGAGCTGGAAGTTTAAAAAATATACTCCTGTATTCACTCCTGTGAACATGCACATTTCTTTTCCTGTTTTTAAGTTACAAGCATTATAAACCTTATTTCAAACTGGCATAAACATACTACTTTTGACTATCAGTAGCATTACAAAGATTCTTGACTAGTCCAACTGTGCCATTCACACACTGCTCTGACAGTAGTGTTTATTTTTGTTGTGTAGAAAAAATAATTCCCCGTCTCCAGAACAAACAGTTTATAATTTCCAATAATGCAATGAAACTTACATTCTGATGAAAATATTTTACTGTATATAATATTCGGAACTACAAGTTTGTGTTATTTGTTTAACTCCCTCTCTTTTGCAAAAGAAAAAGTGTATGTTTTTGTGGGTGAATGTGTATTGGAAGACAGAAGGTTAGGGAAACAAAAATAATGTATCTGCTTAATGTTGTGAAAAAATGTATTTGTATTAAACAAATTACTCAAAGTACTGCAGTATTCTACATTTGTCACCTTGTTACCTAGAGTGTCACATGCTGAACATGAATTGGCAAGACCACACCCTTGCAAGAAAGGTGAATATATTCAGCTGCTTACTTAATACTGATAAACCTGCTAAGCTGCAAGGGGCTTTTACCCCATCTTGGCAGAATGCTCAGGAAACTACCTCATAGTACAAAAACACTTGAAAGGACTTATAGTTGCTTAACTTGCAGGCTTCAACCCTATAAGGAAGCCTAGAAAGGAAGTGGTTTTGCATCCACAGAATAATAGACAAGTAGCACTGGGTTTTGGCTCCAGCAAGGTAAGATGAAAGCTTCCTAAGGAAAGCAGTACCTTGGTACAAACTGTTACAGTGGATTTTGGAATGTCCAACACATAAAAGCTTTAAATATGGACTGGACAGTTACATACTTTAAAGCTAATTCCAGCTCAGATTGTCAGCATGGATCATGTTCCTTTTTGTATTATTTTATACTGTGACTTGGTGAGTATTTCTCCTTTTTGAAAACCCTAAAGACATTTTTTAAAATGAAAAGGAACATTGCATGTTTGCATTATAAAAAAAAAAAAAAAGCCTGTGCATTTTGTGAAGTGTAAAACCAAAGAAAATATTTTACCTTGACAAAAACAGAGTGTTCCAACCAAAGTCCAGATTTAGTTTTGTACAGATCCACCTACCCTGTATTGTTCTAGATGGTCAGCTGGGGAGAGAGTGGGCTAAGCTTCAAAATGCCACAATTCTAGCTGGAATAAGTTATCACATGGCTGATGATTGGTAAGAATGTGTGTTCAAAACACAGAAGTAATGTTCTAACAAATTTCATTCTGTACATCCAAGGCTAGCCACTTGTTCATGTTCTTAAAGCTTCCCTAACTAGCTCACTATGTAAAATGCAAATGGATTCACAAATCCCTGCAAGATACAGAAGAAATAGCATCACGAAAGAAGTTACAGTAGTAAAGCTATATTAATTTCCATTTATTAGCACGTGGAAAGGTGGAGCCAAATTTGGTTTCATAATTAAGAGAGCAGAGGTATGGGTCCCTAAGCCTTTTTGCTTTCCACACAAGAATTTGAATCTCTTCATGAAGGGTACTGTTAGAACACAAAGCACATTTCTGTTTAGTTTGATGTCTGTATACACACATCCCAGCCAATAAAATATTAAGGCTGTTCTGCTTTGTGAAGCAGAATGAACTTTCCTAGAAGTCAAAAAAATTGTCAAAGAACTTGCCAAAAACACTGGTGTACCACATTTCTGCTACCTATGACACAGAGCTCAAAAAAATAACCTTGATTGAGAACAGAATGATTCCAGTCTGCTGGAGAACACAGACCCTGGGACAAACTTGCCCTTTTGCTCTTTGCAGATACCTGTAACTGATACTAGCTGAACCACAGGACTTTATTTTTTATTTTTTTTTAACATATAGAAGATAATATATATGAAAATACAGTAATCAGCACTATTCCAAATAAAAACCAAAGAAGATAGGTCACAGTAATTTTTAAGTGTGTTAAGTAAATCACTAATAATTTGAGGAGGTAATTCTATAATGAAACATGGATCATTACATCTGTGTATGCACATACCTGGGAATATGGTAAACAACATGATCAACAAACTTTAATAATGGCTCACAAAAAGCATAGAAGTGAAATGCAAAGTGGCAGAATTCAGAAAAAAAAGTCAGTCTAGAAATTCAGGCAAAAGCTTTAATGAAGAAGTGCCAATTTATCTCTAGGTTTGCTACCAAATTTTGAGAGCTGGGGAAAAAGAATATTTAATTAAAAAGTATAGATAAGATTTTTTTAAACACTTCATATCTTAGCAATGGGCATCATCACTTTATCAGTTTTCAAATCAGCATGGCACTGTCTTCATTAATTGTGTGAACTTGAATAAGAGCTGGCATTAGTTGGATGCTTCCATTTTTAGTCAGCAATATTGTTATTGCTAAATTTACTATGTAGAAATTCTGTTTTTAAACTAATGCTGTCATTTTAGTCTAATAACTTGATTAGTTCTATTTTTCCTTTGTAACAGGTAACTAGTTACATATTAAACCCTCCATTTTAATAAAATTTGACAGTATTTGAAATCAAGCAGTCAAGGCTTAGGTAACTTGATTACCAGGACCATTATGGTGTCTTACCAATAGCTTATGTTCAGTTTCATAAGAGGAACCCTACACAGGACTTTGTCAGGTGATTTTAAGACAACAGCTTAAACTGCAGAGCATAAATCACAAAACCTCATTAGCAAGTGTCTCTTACCTTCATGAAACTTGCTTCTTTTGCGGAAGTCTGGAAATTGACTATAATGAATTGTTGCTCTTGGAAGAGCTAAAAGATAGAAAGATAATGTATGCATTGTATCATGCTGAGACTGATCAAACAAGCCAATTTGACCTAACTGTACTGTAAGCATTTTATTGTCCTTTACTGGAAAACTAACCTGGAAGGTTCCTTAAGCAGAGAACTTTTTTCTGCTGAGAAGAATACAGAATATCTCATTCTTCATAACTTTGCATGACAATCTTTTGAAGCACTCACCAGGATGTCAGCCTAATATACTGTAATTACTATAACAGCTTCCAGTTATCGAGTTACCTGCTCATTTTCCTTCCATATTTTACACAGTGTCATGGGAAAGTGACTCAATGTTTTTACTTGCAATCTCAAACATCAGACTTCGTATACAAGCAGAAATTCAAAATGAACTTCCAAATGCAGGATCTGTCAAAGCACTGAAACAACCACATACACAAGTTTAGTTCAATCCAGTTACCCTGGCTCAGCTTCTACCACAGTTTAACACCTCAAGTTTTATAAATCAAAACAGGATACATTCCACCACACAGCACAATTTAACGAAGATATAAAACTACCAAACGTCTGCCATGAACTTCAGCACACTGATCTCTCAAACACAAACATAAAGCAGGGATGTGATGGCCTGGAGGTATGTCTGGAGTCACAGGCAAAGACTTCTACCCAGGTTTAAGACTTGCAGGCACCTGAAAATGAACTACATTACCCACCCATGCTCCAGATCTGTAAAAGTTATTCAGGTTTCTTCTTTAGAATCATTTAAGGAGGACAGCTGTTAGTTCTATATAAACTAAAGAGACTGGTTTCCTATAACATTAAAGGGTAGCACAAGCCTATCTGTAAAGAGGGAAGAATTTAATATACACATTAACAAACTTACACTCATCAGTAAGTCTTGCTGCACAGCTATGAAAATACACACTTGGATGTCTGTAAAAGAAATCTGGGAAACCTACATAACTATTTACTGTGACAAAGACTTGATTGTTTAGCACACAGAAGTAAGAAGGGATCATGTGCTAGAAAGATCATTCACCAGGAATAATTATTTCCACATAATTAACAGGCATCTGAGCTGTGACTACTGCCATGTGTAGACAGTTCAGCTGAACTGTGACTTCCATGCCCAGACACTCTAATACGCACTGAGATGTCCTACTTAATGCCTGCTGTGAAATTATCCCTCGTTTTGCCCTTGCCCTTTTTCCCTTTTTATTCATTTTACAGCTTTTAAAGTAATAATCTGCTAAGAACTTTCCTGAAAGACACATTTAAAAGCATCTAAGAGTTGCTTCATAAAGCAAGCCTGCTATTGAAAAGTCGTGAGTGGCTTCAATTCAATTTTCCACAGAAGGGTTAGAGAAAAAATACAGACTAAGATATATTTAAAAATGGGCTGTGGGGACTTTGATTGGCTTTTTATCTGAAATCTGCAGTACAGATTGCTGAGGACAGTAACTCTTTCAAATTCCCTTGACAAAACATAAAATACTCAGTATTTTATTGAAGCATTTCCAGCTCTCTATGATCCTGACAAAGATTCTCAAAGAAAAGAAGGTACAAGAGAAGAGTTCCTCATGTTTAACAGGTTATTGCAATTACCACAAAAAGGTAAGGATTTCTGACCACAAAGTTTTCCAGTCTGAATCTAGACAGAAAATGGACTCAGCTAGTCAGGATTTCAAGACATAAACTTACACAATTAAGATTTTAAGTATTTATTTATAGTAAAAAAAATTTATCCAGTAATATATAGCTTTACCCAGTAATATTGTTTACTCTTTACCATATGTACAGAGATAATAAAAAAGCAACTAACAAAGATTTTAGAAATATAGTTAAATTTTATTTTTTTTTCCAGTGAAAACTAAAATAGGTTTCTAACAATTCCCTTTACTGTTTCAGCTCTTGAATCGGCTGCTGCTCATCAGGGCCCACATCTTCCTCTTCATTCAAGTCTTCTTTTGCTTCTGCATCTGTCACCACAAGGTGACTGAAGGCAGCATCCCTAACTGAGAGCTTTTTCATTTTGATGTTTGGCAGTTTCCTCAGATCACCATCCCACTCTCTTAAAGAGAAAAAAATAAGTAATGAAAACCAATTACCAATAGAAAGGAAGGCATGGCAGAGTTAATTCTGATTTCCTCAGAAGATGCTAACTCAAGTGAGGCTGCTTTTCTCAGTTATCCTCTGTACCCCTGTGATATGAATAAGCACCAAAGATTTCACCTGATTTTATGCACTACTGAAGCTGTAATTTCTCTGTGAAGAAATAAATACTTTCAGTTGTGATATTCTGAAACAAAAATACATTTTTCACTTTATTCCCATAGACTTACTGTACCCTCAGTTACTTTTGGCCACTTGCTTTTAGGTTTGTCTTATTCAACCTGCAGTCTGGTAAGCAACAGAAATACAGGTCAGGAGAGCTTCTTCACCTGGATGCTTGATTTGCATATGCAACATAACATGTATGTAATTCCCTCATGATTTATGGTAAACGTTAACATGTTGTATGACTGACTTCAAGAGAGCACCAAGGGTTAGTAAGCATTAATTCTCATGGTGAATGTATCATTTCAAAAGGCTCCATGAAGGAGAAAGGGTTGTTTCAAATACAAATCAAATGCAGTGCTCACTTAATAGAATGCTTTATTCATTACAGTAAGTGCACTTCATGGATAATTTTTCTCAAGGGCGAAGACAGTATTTGCCAATTATAAGATATGTTTTTCCTTTACGAAGGCAATACAACAACACTTCTATCTGATGTCCCCGTTCAAGAAGTCAATTGCGTATTTATATATACAGCAGTCCCTTTTATTTGGGATTTCTGGCTTTATTCCAACATCCTGTAAGTATGGCTTCTGGCTATCATCCCTGCGAGTCAGTGATATATCCTTGCAACACAAGCATTCCTAAGTTGTTTTTTTTCTTTAAAGTATTTCATTTGATAGGCTGTCAGCAAAAATGTTCACTCCATCTACTACCAGGACATATCAACATGCTGGCCCAGATGAGCCAGCAGCAAGTTTCACAGCTCCCAGATCTTTTAACTGGATGCAAGTAGTAAATTCATTTAAGATTTTCTACTAGTATATACACACATACCAACACTACTGTGAACAGCTGAAGTCATCATTTTAGGTAAAATATCTGAGAATATTGAGGAAAAAGGTTATTTAAGTTACAGAAATGGCATTCTAACTGTTGAATCTAAATCTTCCAATGTTTTCGTTAATAACTGGTACAAGTGTTCAGCTTGTAACAGCTAAGAAATGCCAAAATAGCAGTGCCATACCTACTCTGCTTTTCAAAAAGACAAATTCCTTGGCAGTTTTGCGTAAGTTACTTTTTTTATGAAGAAAGACAACAGGTTAACTTCAGAAACAGTATTTTGCAGATAAAACAGATTATGAGTGATACTAAAAAACCTACCTGAAAAATTTAAGATGCTTTCTGTTCATAATGTCTGGGATTTCTAATAGGAAAGAAATTAAATTCTATTAGATGTGTTACATTATTCAAGTGAGTCTCATTTCAAAGGAAGAAATGTGAGCTAAATGGCCTCTAACCAAAATGGCTACATATCTTCTTTCCATTGCAGCCAAACTGCTCTAAAAGAAATCTGCCATACATATATACAAATATTAAAATAAATAATAATACAAATAAATAAAACAATACTACAAATGTGTACTACCTTTGCTAGTAAAAAGGAAGGCAGGTATTTTGTATTTAGACCTGTGGAACAGACCATTTTGCTTTTTTCCTCCCGGAGTAGCCAAAATCTTCCTACTAGACTGTAATTTATAAACTTAAGCAGATTTTAACAACAGGATGCCAAAGCTGCTTTGCCTTGGTTCAGTGTCATTCTTTTCCTGGTCAGTCCTGCAGTGTTACAAGCAGCCCACATTTAGCATCACCACTAATTTATGGAGTTTATACCTTAGGAGCTTTGACATCTTCCCACACTATAAAACACATCATAACTGTCTATGAACTGTACAGACTTCACAGCCATCAGGCTTTTCACAAGACAGATGTTTTCTACCTCTGTAGCATTACATTAATTTTATTTTAGCTCTTAAAATTGTGGCATTAAAGCAACTTTTATACTGTCCTTGAACAAAGATCTGTCTTTGTTCATCTATCAATTTCCTCAAGTTTTACAGTAATAAATAAGAACATGCTATCAATGCAGGATTACGGATGATTTTGCTACTACAAAATGTGGGATGATGATACCTGTACCATTTATCTTTGTGGCCAGACAGTCCTTATTATTCACAAAATTATTCCTTCCTTTCACACTTGGTTATGAAGTTACCAACTGAAGAACAATAATGTATGTAAAATGTTTTGGTAACAATTACAGTGATTTCTGCAGACTGCCCCTTGATAAGCAGATGAGGTGATACTGTTCACAGCTGGGCAAGGCAAGGCAAAGAAAAATTTGTCTAATGCTTTTTTGGTCTGCTGATTCCTTGGTTCATGCCACAATCCATGCCAAATATCCATACCACATTAGGCTTTCCCAATAAAGCTTCAAATAAAGCTATAGGTGCTGTTGCTCTTGCTGCCGTCCCTAGAACTGCACTCATGGCAGCACAGTGCCAAGCGCTGGAACATCCCAGTTGGTATTTTACAAGGAGCAATCAATGCTACTCTGTTTGCCTCTAGTAGTAAACACTGAGTTTGGCACAAGTGGCACCATGCTGAGATTTGTATTTGTTTCTTTTATCAAAGCATGGATTGAACATACAGTTCAGTGTTCTTGTCAGACAAACCAGGACTAAACGACAAGACTTTCAAATGAAGCCCTTTCATTTGTTTTTCTCTTTTTTTTTAAAAAAAAAACATTTACTGAGTCTAAGTTATGCAGACCTTCTCCAAAGAATATATTCTAAGTTTTATCTAGCCTATCATCTGGGGCACACCAACATCATGAGAAAGCAGGCACTCTGAAGAGAGAAGATTCTGTGACAAACCCAAGATTTGGCACTGAATTCATCTTTACTGCATTGGCAGTGGAAAAATTTTTAAGCTACGCTTACATGTGTGTTTACAATATGTTACACAATAAAAACTACTGAGTTGCCAGACTAAGAATAGAACCGTGTGTAGAAATAAAGTAATTATATACTGCACAGTAACTGATTTTCTAAATTATGCTGGATTAGTAACACTTGTCTAACTCAGCTGCATCTCCTCCTACCATGCACCAATGTCATGGTTTTTGCTGCTGCTTGTGAACTCCTTCATTTGCTTTAAAATGTTAAGAGGAGCATGTTTTTTTGAATTAAAGATAGAAAAAATATAAGAGAGAAATATGGAACAGGAGTTAGTGGGAAAGAAATGAACACAGTATTTTGGGGAGTAGATTATTGTCTGGCATGTCTAAGACAAAGTATTCAACAATTTACATGCTTAGCAAAACAGCAGTGAAAGATTTAAGTAAACAATTTTAAATGTTTCTGACCCTTTCAGATAGTTTTACTTTTCTTTCTTTTGAACAAGAACAATCAGCCTGTTAAAAAAGAAGGAAACTGTAGGTGCTTTTTAGGCAAAAAATTGTTCGGTTATACAATAATGATCACTACAGAAAACAGTGGCTAATGAACAGTACAGAAGTTACATTAGCAGATACATGGAATGATACAGCTTTCATCTGAATTAAATTGATTTCCCTGTAATGTGAAGCCTCCAGAACTAATTAACAAAACTGGTGTATTTAGTTTTAAAAGCCACTTTCCCCCAAGATTAATATTATGCATCTGAGAGAACATGCAAGGTAATTAGAAGCAAATTATCAAAAATGGATGATGTTCACATGAAATAATTATGATGCTTTTCCACTGAAAACATGCCAACCCTGGGTTACAAATAAATAAACAAGTATCTAGCATTACCTTTCAATAGCTTTGCTATAAACATGTAAGACCAGACTAAACAAAAAACCCTAATACACAAAAATTAAAACAAGAGGAAAAAACTGCAGTAAAACTACTGTAGATATATTTAAGGAGTAAGTGACAAGGAGCTGCTAAACCTCAACAACATCACTGAATGTTCCCTGTATAGCTATTGTTTGTTTAAAAAGGACTTAAAATTTTCTTTATTTCAGGATGTCTACCACTTTTGTAAACAAATTTTTACATTGTGTAAAGGATTAGTTTTTCATTTATATATATCCTTGACAGGACAAGAGGAAATGCCCTCAAGCTACAGCTAGGTAAGATTCATATTGGACATCATGACAGAGGTTTTTTCACTGAAATGGTGATTAAGCATTGGAATGAGCTGCCCAAGGAAGTGACAGGAATCAGTAGCCTGGAAAGTGTTCAAAAAATGACTGGATGTGGCACTTAGTGCTATGGTCTAGTTGACATGGCAATGTTTGGTCAAAGGTTGGACTTAATGATCTTGGAAGTCTTTTCCAACCTAACTGATTCTATGATACAAATAGACTGCATCAAATTTAAGTACCTTCCTAAATGAAAAGAATACATATAATGCAAATGCATATGCATACAAGAAATAACTGAGTTCAAGAACAGGGGGGGAAAAAAACGCAACAAATCTAAGTCAGTTATAAAAGCTTACTAAAGCTTCTAGGACTAATAATGAGCCAAAACATAAAAGCACTGTTTCCAGCTGATTTCCATTTATGCCCAATCTCTAATTACAGTATTTAGTTGCTATAGTACTTAGCAGCAACTATTTTCTCTGAATGAACAATGTCTTAGACAGAGAGCAAACCCTGCAGCAGCTGTGGTAACAAATAATGAATTATTTGAAAGTATATTTAATATGTGAAGTTGCACTGTGCTCTCTGAATGCTTTACTTACTAATTCTATAATAACCTCAAATTTTGCCTACAATATTTCTAGCTTCTTCATTATTTTTATGTTGTGCTTGTGCATTTGACACCTTTTTCTCTAGCCCTACTGCCTTCTTCTGTCAGCTTTCCACAAAGCAGTAAGGAAAAAAAGAACTAAAATTTAAAAGCAAAAAACAAAAAGAATACTTTCTTCAATTGAGCTGTTTGATGACAATCACAGAATCTATTTTTCTTACTACTTTTTCCCCCTCCTTCTAAGGGATTAAGTCATAGAGATATTTCTAAATTCCTCTGCCTCTATAGGCTGCACTGACAAAACTTTAAAGCCATTAATTTTCTTGATATGTACAATACATATCAGGGTGTGCTGATTTAGGCCAGGGTAGAGTTAATTTTCTCCAAAGTAGCTAGTACAGGACTGCACTTTTGATTAGCTGGAAACGGTGTTGATGAAAACAAGGTGTTTTCATTATTCCTGAGCTGGGCTTGCACAGATCCAAGGCCCTTTTTCTGCTCCTCACCTCAGCCCACCAGCGAGGAGGCACAGAGTGAACAAGGAGCTGCAAGGGGACACAGCTAGGACAGCTGACCTGGGAATATTACACACAACCCAAACCTTGCTGTGCTTTGTACCCTAACTACAAAATAATGTAGATTTTTCATGCTTTCCACAACATATTTTACTAGTAGGAGGACCAGTTATGTCTGGATAATACTTTCACATTAACTCAGCTTCAATATGCACATTACTGGTTAAAGCAAAATACAAACACTTCACTGCTTATCTTGACTATCCCCAAACAATTCTGCTTTTTGCATTTTCATTATCTCTTTGTCTTTCTTCCTTATTTCACCAAACTATTGCTGCTTCCCTTCAGCCTAGTTCCAGCTATCAAAGCAAGGTCCAAACAAGCTAAACATAATTTGTATTTAAGGCAGGTGCATTAAAAGCTCACTTTAGTTTCAAAAATAGGTTATATATGCCTGCACTGAAAAGACAGTGCTAGCAAAGATGCACAAAGGCAAAAGTAGAATATACAAGTCAGATCTCCACCATCGTTTTTTTCTCCTTTTCTTCACCGTGGCCCTCCTCCCAGGTAACTCCAAGGCACACCTAGCACTTAGGTTAATTTCTTGAGAGAGAAAAATAAGGACAATGCCTAGAAAGTTTGCTTAGATTCTGGCCTTGTGAGCAGGTGAGCATTCAGGTGAGGACTGAATGCTTTCTAATGCTTTTACATACCTATTCCATAACCCTCATAGAGTTGTCTTTCACGTTCTATTGTCTGCTTGATGACAGCTTCCCTTGAAGCGTGCTGTATTCCTTGTCTGCCTTTAATGCTGTTTTGTAATTCAATCTGCTCCAATTCAGCATTGAATCGACACATATAACTGAAAGAAATAAAAAGCATATAAGCTAGATGCAGTCATACAAAACAATTTTAAACAGAATTACTCTGATAAATTATTTTACTAATTGTATTTTCTAATTTATTTTCTTTATTTATTGGAGACTCAAGGAGTAAGTAGTATAAAATCTGCATGTTCAGGTGTCACAGAATAAAGAACCTAACAAGCAAGTGCATGTTATTACTACTGTCCAAATCACTTGAAGACCTCCACATACTACAAAACTAGGGATATACTTCAATAACTTAAAAAAAAGAAACTAAATACGACTTATTTGAATAATTCTAGTATGACTGTATAAATGTCTCAATATTTGTCAGTGGCAACAGAATCAACTACTTGATATTATTAACAGCAATATATAAAAGTCCTCCTGAGTCATCATCCATTATTTTTAAAGACAAGTCAAGGTTTTTAACACCAGTCTTACTTTTCAATTAGTTCACCAGCTTCCTTCTTTGTGTACTCAATTTTACTGGGGTCAAGGTGACTTTGAAACCATTGCAGTTTTTCTCCTACAAGAATAAACTTAACATTAATGGTTACACAACCACTGTAGCATCAATACAGATTAAAGTTTCTCAAAGTTTTTCAAATGCCCCCTCCCCCCATTTTTCAAGATTTTGAATGGCATCATAGGCTCTGATACTGTGGATACCACATATGAAGGCAGCTGTAATAGAAACATTCCCACATCATTTCAGGTTTATTTTATACTTTTCTTGCAGGAAAAAAAAAAAAAGTTAGGCTTTGTTTTACTGGAAATGAATTAAAATATCACTATATCAATTGATTAGGAAGGAAACTTAGAAAGGGGAAAAAAAGCCAACGGAGTGGCTGAGTAAGAGTCCTGATAGGCACATCTGTTTTTAAACAGATTAAATTGAAAAGATGCAGGATCAATCATATGGAAGAGAAAAATATTCCAGGTTGTGTCTTAAAGTTTTGGATTTACTTGCTAACACAATGTGTCCTTTAACCTACATATATCATCTTCTTTCACAAGCAATTATAAAAGCTTAATTGTATTTGTATTACAAATACAATATGTGTACAGATGTACAAAACACTCATTTGGTCTATACTGCCTTGCTGTTGTGTACAGTGACTAAAGATTAGCTATGCTCAGCCCCAAATTCAATCCTCTACAGATTAAGTGGACATGTCAGGTATTTCAGTATTTCAGTCAAGTCTATTTGTAGATTGCAGAATCAGATTTCAGAAAAAGAAGCTCTAATTGGATGTCTAAAAAGTTGGTGAAACTTAGAATCTCCAAGAAACTGAATACTGTAGTCACTAATAGAAGTTTCTGCTTACCAATAATGCTTAAACGCAAAGCTTTGTCAGTCTTCAACCTAGCAGAGAAAAACCAGATATGTTAGCCAGGAATGAGTACCATATAAATAATGACCTTAATTTTATTCTTAAAAAGTTGGGGTTTTTTTTTCAGTCATAGTGAAAGTCAAGGTAAAATTTCAAATAGAAATATTTGACAAATTCCAAACAATGTAAAACTTCTGTTTCATCCAAAATATCTACTTTCTGGTAAAACTACTAGCTGAAATGTGTCCAGTTTACCTATTAAGCTAAACAGCTTCTTGGAAGAAAAACAGACGCAAAATTTTTCTCTGAGTGCAAAAGGAATTTATTTCACCGAAGAGCTGCACTGTCATAATTTCCTTAAGTATTTCTGATATTCCTCTGATATATCTAATGAGTTGGGAGATTTCACTACACTGCATTCCTTCAAATCAAGCAGGCAATGTGAAAAATACCATTCTGTCACCTTAAAACTTGCAATAATTAAAGTTTGTGCTTAGCAAACAGTAAGTTAATGTGGTAAGAAACCAAAATTAACAGCTTCATTAAAGAAGATGTAAAAAAACCCAGCTCTGTCTCGCAGTACTTTTAAGTCCACTTGAATCTTTGGCAGGATACACAAAAGCCTTCTGTGCTCTTTGGGATGTTGGTACACAGTTCTATTTGGGATTAATTTTCATCCTAATCAGGAGTTCTCAAAAAAGACAAGTTCTCTAACAGGAAATCCTGTGCCTCATGCTCTTTTGTCATGCTCAAGGTGTCAGATGCAATCTGCATCAAAAGATGTTGCAATTTTCTGTTGTTTCCAGAAAGGAAAACAAGACATTATTGGATAAGTACAAAATTTGTCACTAGAAAAAATACCCTAGCCATGCATATTCAGTGTATATATTCAAGGACCTCTCATGAAATTGACTTTTTATTATTATTATTAAATAGGAAATTTGGTAATGGATTAAGTAAATCATAAAGGCTGTAATTGACAAAGAATGAATAACGCTGAAATTCATCACTGTTCAAAGCTATTGTGCTCCTTTATTAAATTCCTTTTACTCTGTAAAACTTAATGAGCATTTTAGAGCTAACTGAAGTAACTCAGAGCACAGAAGTTTGTCACCTACCACAAAAACTGGGATCAAAAGATGAACCCCTTACCTTCCAGAGACAAACCTACATCAAACCTTCCAGAGACAAACCTACAAGTGTCACATGTCCACAAACCTACATTATTAAATAAAGATTAGATTTTTCAAGAAGTATTTCATCCTCTGAAGACTGTCTAAAAGCCATGTACAAGGAAATGCACAGCATGTGTGAGCTGCTGAGAATTCCACTAACATATTAAAGAAATTTTTAATTCTATGGATACTCCAGCATGTGTAGAAGAAGCTGAGCAATAAAAGCTGAGCAGGCTTTTATCCTCAGAGGACTTATAGCAGGGAGCTTTGGATGGTAGCAGTGTCCAAGAAAAGGATGCATACTGCACTCAGTGGAACTCCACACCAGCAACCCCTGCTGGGAACCCTGCAAGGCAACACTGCCAGAGGAGCCTGTCTGCAAAGCTTTGCCACAGAGAAAACTACAATGGCATCTAGGAAAGCTGCCTAAACAGGATCATGTCATACATCTACATTCTAAAACACTACAAACTACCATCTGCACCTGTTAGGGCCACAAAATCATTTATTTATAAAAGCAGCAAAGTACAGAACCACCATTTTCTTCTGGACGAAAAACCTTCACTCTCCTGGTGCACACAACAAATTTCAGCATGAGAAATAATGAATGATAGGCTTGGATGTTGCCTTATTGTACTTTTCATAAAAACCTCACCTCAGTGACTGCTAGAAGACAATAGCATTAGTGGGGAGGCTAATCAAATCAGGTGAGTCAAAGAAACTTCCTCTCCTTCCACACAATCAGTAATAGCTTTTACTTAGGGGAAGGAGAGGTTAAGACCAGGGATACAATCTTGTGCCAGGCTGTTGTTTCTTGATGATTTTCTTCTTCACCCACCTTCCAGAAAACCTTTACTTAAGCAATGATTAATAAGAAAGATTAGTGGTTTTCTTGATGCCTACTAAGTACTTAAAAAGTAAATTCTACATGTTCCTTTAGCACCTCTTTATCTCAGATATTGTATTAAACTGCTCTGCTCTAAACACTAACAATGCATAAGTATTTCCCAAATCAGATTACAAACTCAGTATTTTTCCCAATAATATCCACACATACAAATGTCCTCTATGGCTCTGAAAACTATGACAGGCTTTTCAAAATAATTCTAAAAGCTAACAGTTTTTCCTCATGAATAATCTGCAAGAACATGTCACAAAGCATCACTGCTGCAAGCAATGCAAGTAGAAGCATAGCGGGTCAAGAAAGATTAGGAAGTTAGACTGGGGAAAACTTCAGAAAAAGCAAACACAGTTCTACCGGGAGACATTTGAAGGTTGCTTATTCCCACAAGGTCACTTCGCACCCCACCACTGTAAAAACTCCTTAGCTCTCATATCTCAGAACACATCAGTATTAGACTTGTGTTATTTATGATGTAAATGTATTCCTAAGCAATTTATTGTGCAATAGAAAGGGTCTGCTTTGACTCAGGAGGTAAAACAACAGAAAAAAAAAATGCACAGCTAGATTAGCTTTAGCTACCAAAGCCAGATAGGTATCTCTGCAGTTGCAGGAAAACATGACTGGTGTTGGAACATCACTACTACGGAAGTTTCATAAATTTCCCACTATGATCTGGTTTCCTAAAGTGTAGAAAAGTCAGTGTTCTACTGACTAACATTCTACTACTGCCAGTGAAGCAGCTATTACTGTCTCATAAAAATATTCATGTAATTATTTAACAGAGCAAACAAGCTGCCTAAAGGAATAAGGATTCACATGTAGATTAAGAGAGAATAAATTGGCAGTAATACACTGGAAGTTGTCGCTGCTCATTAGACCTTGAAAAGAATCGAGAGGAGAGGGATGCAGGCAAGAAAAAGGTGTGATTTAAGTGAACAAGATGACTTAAGATTGTAGACAATTTTCTAAAAGCAATTGGTCTGTCTTCTCTTATTATGGTTAAGATTGGTCTTTTGTAGTGCAGTCACAGTTTCTGGACAGTAAACTTCTAACTGCTGTCATATTTCATTACAAATGCTTGCAGTGAAGAGTGGAAAATGGAGCCCATAAAAGACTTCTGCGACTTCATGCAGAATTTCTCTCTCCTTTTTCCCAGTGCATTTTCAATCTTGAAATTCCTTGTGGATAATATCCACCCTTTATTACTATCTCCTTTCAGCAAAAGATGCTGGAATATTCAACTCATAACTTAGTGCAATTTTCTTTCCTGTGTTAGATAAACAGGAACATTCACAGTAGTTATTTCTTTACTTCCATCCTATAGGAAAGTTAATAAGGAAATTGAAGCCTAAACTGTCTCCAGTCCTGAATCCTGTCTCCAGACAAGTACCAAAGGAAAAAAAAAAAACAAAACCCAACCAAACCAAAACAAGCAAAGCAAAATAAACAAACCACACAAAACTAAAAGCATTGACTAGTACTTCTATAAGATATTCTCACCCTCCAATAACATGCCAGTCAAGGGCTTCCTACACCCTATACCTTTGTGTTTAATAGTAATCAAGAGATAAAATGTATGTATGTTCAAAAGTATTACTGCACAAATTTAGCCAGCCAATTAGAGCATCCTCTGGCAGGGAAATCCACTGCTTAATAAAAATAGTACAGACAAACTCTATGGACTTCCTGCATTCACTGACTACTCTAATTCAGTTTTTCTGTTCTGCAGAAGTGCACTAGCCTGTACAGAAAAATTATCCCCTTTACTCAGGCCTGGTGATATCACATTGAGAATTCTGTTTCTAGTTTTGTGTCCTATTCATACTTCAGACAACTTACTTCTACACAGTAACAAGCATGGTCAAAAAAGTATGAGATTTGTAGATGGGACTAAGGAAGAAAATTCTGTAGAGATTACAAGGCAGCTTCTCCTATTTACCACCAAAAGATGTATTAACCTTCTACCAGAGAACAGGGCTGTCATTCAATAGAAGCAATTTGGAAAATTGTTTAAAGACATTTAATAGACCTGCAGAAGCAATGCGGAAGAACAAAACTGGTGTGAGCTATTTCTTTTTCCCGAGAGTGTAGGAGTGGAAAGCTTTCCTCCATTCACAGCATCAGAAATTTATCTTGCCTTTTTCAGACAAATGCAAAATGAGTCCAAGCCTCACCATTATATTACAGAAGCTGAAAGCTAAGTAATTACAATAAAAAGTTCAACACATATTTAATTCCCAATATTAAAAAAAAATCCAGAGAATTTACCAAGGTGATCATTTAGATAACAGAGATTCAAAAGAAACTGGAACCCTTAACAAGTCTTTTAAAAAACTAACAGGAAAAATAAAATCAACATTATTCATGTCTTTCAAATTAAATTGCTCTTCAAGCCAAGACAATACAGAAAATAGAATATAGACAAATGGAGTATGTTTTTAATGCAACTGATTTTTAGAACACCACAACTCAAGTGATCTACGAAGTACAGAATGTTAGTTAACCATTCAGACCCCAGAAGCATAAGATGTAGAACTCTTATTTATAAGATATAAAGATATAAAATGTAGGATCATTTTGCTATCACAATATGCTGTGGATGGTGAGAACTGACACACTATTCTTGGTGGAATGGCTTCCCTATGCAAAATGAAAGGTTACATCTTTTACAATCAGCCTAGATTGAAATAGCAAGGATAGGGTTTCTTCAAATACAAAGGAAGACTAAGGCTGATGTGATTTTCTTACTGAATTGAAGGGGACCCTGACAACAGAGACCAGAGAAGGCAGAAATACCAGACACTTTCTTTGTGTGGGCATTCACTGCCATGTGCAGCCCCCAGGAATCTCTGACCAGGATTAAGGAATGTCAGAAGGAAGACTCTCCCTTGGCCAAGGAGGGCTGGGTTAGAGAACACCCAAGCAAACTTGACATCCACAAAGCCAAGGGCCCTGAGGGATGCATCCACTGAGTGCCAAGGAAACTGGTGGAAACCATGGCTAAACTGCTTACAATTATCTTTGAAAGGTCATGGACATGAGGAGAGCTGCCTGAGGACTGGAAGAAAACAGATGTCACCCTGGTCCTCCAAGATGGCAAGAAGGAGAACCTAGGGAACTACTGGCCAGTCAGCCCCACCTAAATCACAAAGGCAATGGAGCACCTCATTCTGGAGGCCATCTCTATCCACATGCAGGACAAGGAGGTGATCAGGAGCAGTCAGCATGGATTTATTAAAGGTCATGTTTGACCAACTTGATTGCCTTCTGTTATGCAACAACTGGATGGACGAGGGGAGAACAGTGGATATTGCCTCAGTTTCAGCACCGCCTTTCAACCTTCTGCTGCTGCAAGAGGAATTAAAGTAACACTCCAAGAAGAAACATCAGCACTGGTGTCCCCATCAGTGTAACTCTAACCACATGAGACTGTCACTAAAAGATTTGAGTTTTTGAGATTTTGCCAAGTCATAATGAATAATCAGTAAGTATTGCTCCCCCACTAAGTTTTCTTGTGCATGTTTTTCTGTATGGTGAAGTCACAAATGCAAGCACTAAGAATCAAGTAAGATTAAAGCATCTTTTGTGATTAAAAGCTGTGAGTAGCTGTTAAGACACAAGGTGAGAGAACTAAGGGACAAAGTAGTCAATTTAGCAGTAGGAAAATAATCTGCAATAAAAATTTAAAATCAATAGTCAGAGAGCACAGAAAAAATACAAAAAAGCAGGGGAAACTTCTTGCACATTAAAAAACAGCCCAATCCTCAATACATGCTATTGTGAACTCTTGCAGCATCTCTGCTGGAGGCTACATGACCCCACTGTGGCAGCAAAGGCCCCCCTTCTAGTGAAAGCAATGGTGCAACTGCTGTGGATAAGGTTCCACATCAATCTTAACAACAAAACTGCACAGTCTCTGGACCAGGAGTTTCCATTTTAACACCTTCAGACAAATGAGTATTTGGGCTCAGCTCACACAGTCCATCCAGACAATACAATTTATACAGAGTTATACAGCTTATATAGTGCTATGCTAAGATGGAAAATGCTTAAGCTAGCTTGAGTAACTTCCTAAATAAACACAGTTATGCATAGCAAGCAAGCTGAGACAATGTAAATTAAAGACCAGTCTTCACCAGCTGTTTTTTCCCTCTGTGAGAGGGGGAAGTAAAACTTAAAAGCAGAAAAACAAACTTGCCATGGAACAGCAGAAAACCACCAAAAAGGAGTTCACTATACAGTTTTATTCAGAAGTCTGTCTTCTGCAGGAAGGTTTCTGGGTTTTCTTTTCTGTTCACTCAGCATTTTAGCAGAAGCAGCTAGCCCCTAAACAGGATTCTTACTGAACTCGAAGTAAAGTCAAAGTAGGTGACTCACCTTCATGTGCAATCATCAGCATCGTGCTACTCAGATTACCAAAGGCAAGAAATCTAACTTTTAAGGACAACACCCAGAGTCAAGCAGCAGAACTACACACTTTGTATAACCTGATTTAATGCATGTAAACCTGTCACTTCACATGGCCCAGCAGCAGTATTAAGTTATGCAGGCCTTTCTGTTATTTATGGTTCTATCAGCATAACAGTCCATGTCCACTACCACAAATAAGAAATATCCTTTGTGATGTTATTCTTTGGTCTGTACAGAGGTTTTGCAGTCAACTTACTTTTCTTTCTTCTCCTGTTTGTGTACATCCCTCGCAAGCTGTGCAGCTTTTCTGCTGTAGGGATGGATAACTTTTTTCTCTTGCTTCCCTCCTTGAGGTTTACGTAACTTTGGCTGAAAAGAAATCAAAGATACTAAGAACTAATAAGGCTGGGTAAAACAGCAAAGGGAAGAAAGACATACACAGCTTGGTGAAGACTTAAAAGGTCATTGATATCTAATAAAGCCCTTAACTTTCAGTAATACATTATCAATTTCACCCACTTCAATAACAAAATTACTTGAAGCCAGTACATGCTGTAACAAAACCGCTAGAGCACAGGAAATGCTGTAAGAAATCTGACATAGTGACTACTGTCAAAATACCTACTTCACAGAACTCTACAGCTAGGAAACCAAGAATAACTCTTAGTACCTTTGCCGAAAAATGTCCCCATTCAAGCTTCTATCTGAGTTTCTGACAAGAGCCTCACGTAATTTGTTCAATGTAATAAAAGCAATTTTCTTGTTTCTCCCAAGGGATCATTGGAATAATGCCTCACACCAGAGACCAGCCAGAGGCTTTCATTCTCCTCCCTTTCATACTGCACAGAGAGGGAATACCATTCACGAATTTCCAAAGTACAGCAATACTACTCTAAGTTATCCTATTTTCTGGTAAGAAAGTACTTGAACAGAACTGAAAGGCTTTATGCAATAATATGCTATTTAACTGCACCCAAAAGAAACACCTGAAAGCAAGGGGGCTTTCCTGCCATCAACAAACGGAGACTATAGTACATCCAGTTCTCTAGGATAACATCAGTGCTTAGGGATGCGAAAAAACGAGATGGTGTCAAAGGCAAAACTACTCTGAGCACCTCGGGAAATCTCCGGCGGCAGCACCTCCTCCCTGCCCCACAGCGGACCGTGCATCCCCCCGCCCCGGGGCCGCCCTGCCGGGAAGGCCCAAAAGGACACAAACCCCTGGGGGAGGAAACGCAGCAGTTTTTAAATGCAAGGTCGGCTCACCGCCCGTATCGGCCCACAGGGCCACCGGCCCGCCAGCGGACTCGCCGCAGACTCCCGAGGCCTGGTGAGGCCACTCCCGGAGGGAATGAAGGGGGGGGAGCATGGCGTGAGCAGCCACCGCCGTCCGCAGGAGCGCAGGCTGCGGGAACCGCACCCGTACCCCTTCTCCTGTCCCTGTCCCCATGCCCGTCCCCATCCCCAGCCCGCCGCACGCACCATGGCCAGCGAGCCTCCTTCCGGCGCCGCGGTGCAGCAGCCTCAGCGCTCCGGGCGGGCGCGCGGCGGCGCGGCGGGCGTTCCGCGGCGCCCCGAGCGGGCTGGGCCGCGGTTCCGAGCTGCCGCTGTCATGGCGAAGGTGCGGGCCCAGAGCACGGGATGAAACATGATCAGGGACTGGATAATCTCTTGGCAACAGCTAAAGTGACTGCTTTGGCAGCTAAAATTAATGGGGCTTAATCTTTATCTTAACCCATGAGCTTGAGATGAAAGAAAAAGTAGTAGTCCAAGAACCTGGTGATAATTACGGTGGAGAAATTCCATAAGTGGTGCCTATGCAAAGGAGCCTTGCTGAGCTGAAGAAAATGGAACAAAGTCAAGAAAAAGGTGCCAACCTGTGTGAGAAAACCTTTCCCTTGGGAGCAGAAACAGCTTCTGGGAAGCTCAAAATCAAAAGTTACCGGAGAGTGTAACTCTCAGACTTGCAGACATCACCAAACCAGAAAACCCCAAATATCTGTGGCAGCAATGCTGCTGTGGCACCTCAGAGCAGATCATCACCTGCACCACGGGCCCGTGCAAAAGCACTTGTGCCTGTTCAGCTCCAGACACCACACGCTCGAAGGAGACACCATCTTTAGGTCTTAGCACTTCTTGCTCTTCAGATGCCGATAACTCTTACAATATATAAACATATTAATTTTAAAGGTTGTCCCTAAGCAGCAGGCCCCCAAATCTTTTACTGAAATACATACAAGGAAAGTAGGATTATCTAAAGCAAAGTCTTCATTCAGCTTGTATTGGAACATTACCTGTTTGTGTACTTGCAATGAAACTGTTTCATAGATTTACAGAACTGCTACAGATGGCGGTGACAGTAGCAATTTTGGTTTTTAATCTAATAATTTAGGATGTAGCAGTCACAGACAGGAAACTGAGCATGAAATTTTAAATAGTCCATCCAAGTAAATAGATTTAGAGGTATGCCGTCAAACAGTGCAGGAATCATAGTAGCAAACTGGGGAATAGGTCTGTTTTAATACTGTTCAAATCTTCTCGGGACCAGAAACTCACATTTAACTGAGGGGTCCTGGAAGAAGTCAGGCAATAAGGTCTGTGACTATGGGGCCCACTCATGAGTACAAATGAAAGATGAAAAAAAATAATTTGTTGATTCTTTCTTCATTTGCATGAATAGCTTGGAGGCTTTAGAACATGCATGCTTGGGAATGTGAATAGGTATGGCCTTCCCATCAAAATACCACAGAGAAACTGCTGTGGTCTCCATCTAGCTTTCATTTCACAAAGAAATGCTAGGTTGGAAGCAGATGTACAGCTGGCTTTACTTCTGAGCTGCAGAACATGGCTGATGCAGAACCTGGAGCTGAAAGGTACCCACAGTAAATTTTAAATTGTAACTGTAAGAAAGAAACCCAGACTCTGAAGACACACTTAATGGGCAGCTCCGAGGGGCCTTTCAGCTGGTCTTCTGCCACTGACTGTAATGAGACCCCTGGGTGATGATGCATTTAATCCAATGACCTAGTTACAAACCAAAAAGTACTCAATCTAAATGTGCTTGATTTCCAGTCTGATCTTGTTCTTTAAATAGTGTGTAATCTGGAAACTTTTTTTTTTTGCTTTTTAGTACTTCACTGTCTCCATCTACAAAGGATCTTTTGCAAAATGTCTTGACAGCTGTGTGGAATAATTGCTGTGTAAGTTTTCCTAAGTCATGTATTTATCCTGGGGAGGTGGCAGATATGGATACATGAATCCAAATTTGGCATGTTAATAACTGGATCTTAATTTGCATTTTTTGCATTAATTTTACTGATGCTATTACAAATGCATAAATTATAATAAGGGGATATCTGGCTATGACAGTCCTTCTTACAGTGTTCAGTGATGCAAAATAAAGTAGATTTACCAAGTACAGTTTAATTATTTCATCCTTGAACTGATTTGCTATTAAATTCTATTTACTACAAAATATTATATTAAATATTATACAGCAGTGACTACAGTACGGTACTTGGGATACAGTAGCCATACAATTCTAAGAAGGAGGCCCCATTACAATGATAACAGCATGTATCAGCTTTTCAGAAATTCTAACATTTTTATGTCATGAATTAGACCAATTGACATAAGTTTTAGACTGATTTATGAATATTCTTAAAAATCTCATTTACGGTGTTATAACTGCATTAATAAGAATGGAATTTAAAATTGTGTTTAGCTTAGTTGTAACAAAATACAAATTTCCTGAGTTCAAGGGAATCAGCTAAAGGTTAAAGCAATTAACAACTGCATTTAGAAATGAGGAAAAAAAAGGTAACGAGCAAGGGAAACTGTATCAGTGAGAGGACAGTGGGCAGTCAGTCTCAGGATCTGCCATAGACTGAATGCATCTGTAGCAGGGCTTTAGTGGAGAGACACATGTAGAGTTTCTTGAGTATATTCCGTGTTATCAATAAGACCAAGCAGTACAGTAGAAATAGAAAATAGCAGTTATGCTTGCAGTTGTGAAATGAATTTTTTAAGATAACCTCTCTTAAATTGGTGTTTTTTGCATGTCCTGTTATCTTAATGAATAAAGGATATAGCCCCCTGATTCACTTAATGTATATTTAATTGCAAACTTCCACATTAATGATATGTTCCTAGGATTTCCAGTCTCTTCCTACATATGCCAAGGTCAGATTTTCTCAAGCGGTGGTGATATGAAGGAAACGGTATTGTTTAAATATAAATAAATTGGGTAAGAATTATGAAGTACTGAAACTGATACATAACTTGTGTTATTTTTAAATCAACCTTTAGGAGAATAAATCGGCTGACAGTTGAGCTCATTGTTGTCACGGGTGGGTGTCTGACTGAGCTTCAGCAAATCTGAGGGTGCATTCATTAATATTTGCTGTATACTGAGTTCATAAATAGAATGCCACTTGCTTTTCATTTAGTTAGGCTTATGCTTTGACATTAAATTCCTGTCTATTCAATGCCATTGTTTATGTCCACAGTTTACAGACTGTGAACATGCATGGCTGAGGTAGTATTTCTACAAATTCAACTTAAATGACTCAAGAGAGCTTTAAATAAACCCAAGTTTTAAAACCTGTGCTCCAGAATTTCTAGCATTTACCTGAAATTTTCTTTACATTTCTTATGATCAGTATATTTGGTTTTACTTATGCCATAGATACTAATGCATTTTTCACTGATACGTGTAATTTTTCTGTTTACAAACTAAGAAAAGGTATGATAGAAACACCTATTTATATAACTCACTCTTTCCTACATGGTTTGCAATCATTTCTAATCTACAGTGCACAAGAAACTACTAAAAACACCTACTACATGCTCCTCTGATTATGCTGCAGGCTACCTATTTCTGCAATTCGTATTTTTTTTCTAAATGCTTCTACTATTGTATTTCTTTTAATCTCTCCATTCTAATTACACTCAAGCTCTTCCTAATGGATTCCTGCTGCTAATCAGAACATCAGAAGACCACTTATTCCTTTTGACAGGGCCTCCTTTTATCCATCTCTTTAACCTTTTTAAATGAGAGCTCTGGCCGCTTCATTTGTTTAGATTTTGAAGAGGCTCTCTGGTGCACTGTACTATGCTTCACCTTTTGCAAGTCCATGGTAACACGGGAGATATGTAGCATACTCTGCAAGTTTCCAGTTTCAAGATATCATCTGCAGAAATATGTAGATTTAAAACTTTCTGGAGAGAAGAATCAGAAATGGGGCTACAGTATAACATGCTGTCACTGTCTAGCATGGCAGCTTCAGCAAAGAAAAGAGAATCTTTTGTACTAGATCCTTTAGATGCTCTGTTTTGCAGACACCTTTCTGGATCAAATTATTCCAGTCAGGTTGCATGCAAGTGTGTCAATACACAAAGATTTTCAGCAGATTCTCTGGTACCCACAGTTTCCATGGAGCCCGTGGTGTGCCCAGTGGCTTAATGCTCAGATAAAATGATCAGAAGTTCAGTGTGGGGGCAGATATATCTGGGAAACATGCCTGAAACTTAGAGAATAAACCCTTCTGCCTCTGCTTAAACTTCTGTTTAGCCTGTCTGGGTATCCATTTGAAAAAATCCTCCTTATAACCATTCAAATATACTCATTAGTGAAGTTGCAACCAAAATTCACGATTTTATTCTTGTGAGACTTTATTGTGTCTTTTTTTTTTTCAATAGTGAATTGAATTTAATCTCCGGTAAATTTATCTGACATGTCCTTGATATATCAGGATATTTTCACTGTACATATACTAATGGAAAAATAAGGATAAAATTATCTGCCAATACAAAGATGGTTACTGAGTTAGGCTAAAAAATAATCATAGTCCTGTGAGAAACAGGAAAACATGAAAAGATTGAAATCTCAATTCTTTCATTAAAATTTGAGGGACAGCATATAATTTTTTAATCTATCTGTCTCGTTTAAGTGGTTTTTTCCTTCTTTTCCTTTTCAATCTTCAGGCTCTGTAGCTGCAGCAGTTGAGGCTATTACATGAACACACTGTATAATATTTTAGATGAGCTGACTCCAGTAATTCAGTCTTGTCTGGGATTTCATCAGGTCTCAGGAGGCTTTCCTCAGCTCCTCTGGCAGGCATATTGTGTTGTCAGGTGCCTGTGAAGCTACAAATAATTTCTGATTTTGTTCTTCATACTAATTTTTAATTCCTTTTTAATTTGAAACTTGGAATAGACTTTCTCATTACTACTGTCACAACATGTCACAGTGTTATGCAAAGTTTAAATGTACATGTGTACGGCTATGTGATATTTTCAGTTTAAAAGCACGCAATCCCCATAAATTCTGTAGCAGCATAGCATGTTTCACCTCTCCTGCATTTTTTTTTTTTTTCAGTAGATATTTTGCATACTTCTGAGTTTCAAACTGAGTCTGCAAGAGTGATCTGGGTATAGTCTAGATAAATATGTTCATGCTCACTGCTATATACCTGTATCAGAAATTATATTATTTTAAATTTGGTTT